ACTTTTTGATGAAATATTCGAGCAAGAATTACAAAATTCACTGAACTTGTATGGATCAATATGTACAATTTTAGAGAAATGTGAAAATTCATCCACATTGCTAGCAGATATTGTTGAAGATTGGTTAATTTTAGAATCATTAAACAACAATCTCACTCATCGAATTCAAGCTAGTATTGATGAAATAATCACCCCAATTGCATTGGCAGCAAACTTTTGTCATCCAAACTATTTAGGAAAACAATTTGTAAATGACAAAAGTCGTATGACTAAAATGATTGAATTTTTTATTGATGCTCTGGATGTAGGAGGATTAGATGACTACGAGGCATACCGGAGTTCAAGAGGAATATTCGGAAAACTGAAATTAAAAGAGTATTGCGATCCACAAGTATTCTGGAATACAGTTATGCCGTTTCATGGTGATTTAGCTGCCGTTGCGATAAATCTCTTACAAATACCTGCTGCTGTAATACCAACAAAGACATGTGCTGTACACCAAAATGATTTAACTCCAAATCGTCTTAAAAAATTAACAGATTTATATTATAATCTGAAAATTTGCGACAAACATATTACGAACAAATAATGAATACTGTAAGTTTTTCTATTTTTGTATTGTTAATCAAAGATGTATAAGTTTTTTTAAGAACACAGATTTTAATTTAAAAGTGCAATCGCAAGAAATATGCAATAGAAACAGTATTTTACTTTTTTTCTATATTAGCTGCAAAACGTTGTGATTAACACTATGTCATTAGTTACATTAACAAACATATTACTAGCAAATACTGAATATTGTGAGTTTTCTATTTTTGTATCGTTGATCTATTAAAGATGTATAAGTTTTTTTAGAACATATAGATTTTAATATAAAAGTGCAATCGCAAGAAATATACATTAAAACAGGGGTATACGTTTAAACAGTATTTACTTACTTAGGTAGTATACATTTCAACAGTATATTAGTTGCAAAATGTGATTAACACTAAGTCATTAGTTAAATTAGGTTTAATACAATTTGAAGGAAAGTAAAGAAAAATATAATTTTTAATTTTTAGAAAACTTAGTGATATATCACAAATCTATTATAAAATGTGCGAGTGATGATTTTATACCATAGAATAGTAATAAAAATATATTTTACGAAAATACGCAAGTGTTATACATATATATTTGTAAAAGAAAAAAGCATTTTGTTTCATTATTTATTTACTAATAGTTTTAATTATTACTAATTATATTATTAATTATTTACTAATAGTTTTCGAGATGTTCACTCATTTTTAAAGAATAATATACATCCACTAATTTCTCAGATCTTTCAACGGTCAAACGATTTCGTAAGTCGGAATGTATGAAAGACCAATTAGAAAAGAGACGTTCAATTTGGGCCGATGATGCGGGTATTTTCAACAATTTTCGTGCGAGTGATGATAGATGAGGATGTGATGCTTCAGCGATACCCCAGAAAGTTTGTGATGATTTTATTCCTTTCTTTTGCAAAACCTGAAAGATGTCTGTATTGTTCAAATAATTATTTAGTTCTTGCTGACCTTCAGTATCTAACTCTTTCCTCAAAAAATCAAGAGCCATTGTTTTTTCATTCTCTTGATGAAGAAAGCGTTTACCCTGGTATTGTGGATGCAGAAGGTTCGCAGCAAGAACAATTGGGGTTAAAACTTTTTTCAGGCGAGCTTGAAACGTTTTCATAATGGAATCGTCATCCGTTGGAATATATATTTTTAGCCATTGTTCACAGGCATCTGCTATGCTTGCGTCAGATCTTTGGCATAGGTTTATGAGTTCACATATGGGATCAAAGAGCACAATGCAGTCTTGTAATTGGCTTTCAAATAATGATTCTTTTAGCAATTGCAAATTCTGATTAGTAATTATGACCTTTTGCTCATTCACTAGAGCTCGCATTAAATGCAAATTTTTCAAGCAACATCTAAAAGCATCGCGATAGCTGCACCACCTTGTTTGGCATGGTAATATAATTTTAGACCCTCCACGATTTTTTAATTCTCTTTCTGGACCTGCCATCTTAAATTCCCGTAATACAGTATTTACAGATTGTGCGAAATCCATCGGCACAAGAGATTTAGCCAATAAATTGGCACTATGACTATGACAAGTAGAATGCCAAATATTTACTTGCCGGCCCATGGAAATCATTGATGATGCATTGTCAGAAACTATGCTATATATGGAGATGTTGAATTTTTCTTTTGCTAATAGCACAGCTTCTTCCACAATATCTTTCAACTGTTGAGACGTTTCTTTTAATTCAGTTAAATCCCAAGATTTCAGAAAAATGCTCTTTTCATTAACATTCTGAATAATACACACAACATTTTTTGTGTTTGCTGCTGTATTCTTCCATCCATCAATTAAAAGAACTCCCTCGGAACCTTGAATCTCGATTCTTTGATTTATAATATTTTTGTGTACTTTATCCAGAATCATTTTAGAAAGGAGTTTTCTACTTGGTGGCTTGTAGTTTGGGTTTAGCAGTTGCACAAACCTTTTGAATCGTGAAGATTCTACAACGTTGAATGGTATGTTACATCCAAAGAACAATTCACCTAAAGCAACGTTAATTTCTTCTGGGTTAAATGATTTAGACAGCATTGAGCTGTTCGATTGTCTCTTTAAGGATGAACTTGATGGTTTGCTCATCGAACACTGCAAATGCAATAAAATTATTAATAACAAATAAAATATATAATGTATGATATTGCATTCAAGGTTACGTCCCGAAAAGTTCTCTCCGAAAAATATTTTACTAAAAACCTATATTATATGTGTACTTTTAAGTAAAATTTTCCTCGGAGAGGACGTTTCGGAACGTAATCCAAAATAATATATAGAAATACTATCACCAAATATCCTCAAAAATTCCTTTTAATGATTAATAGATTAATATAGTAACTACTTACACGAATGTTTTTATTATTAGAGTAATTCATTATCACAGTTCTTTATACTTCTATAATTTTAATTTTAATTATAATTTTAAAATATATATTGACTGTAATTGGTCAATTCACTCAGACACATAAGATTTAACCAATCATTGTCGACTATTCTTACGACTACGACTTTAGGACTTTTATGTAGACGAGGCTTAAGTTAGATTAGGTTATTTACAGGTATTATACGTTTTATGACGTATTTTACCGTAAAATACCGTAAAATGTAAAAATCCCTAGAAAATGCACGGATAACCCAACCCTGCTGTCAACAGATAAATGACTGCGCGATCATATTACCCAGCGAGGAGGACAAGTGGCTCAGTTTTAACAATCACAGTAGGAAGGAACGTGTGCCGTTTGTCGTCTACATCGACTTGGAGTGTATCCTGAAAAAGATGGATACGGATCCGAAGACATATCAGCACCATGAAGTATTTAGCATCGCTTATTACCTGCACTGCTCATATGACGACTCGCTATCAACGTATCAGTTTCGTCGTGACAAGGATTGCATCGCATGGTTCGCTGACCAACTAGAAGAATTAGCATATCGTGTGAAGAATATTCTGTCGAGTATGTTCCCATGCAAACACTTTCGAAAGAACAGTATGAGAAATTTAATAGCACCACGCACTGTCACATATGCGAGAAACCGTTCGCGCCAGACGACACTCGGGTGCGCGACCATTGTCATCTAACCGGACAATATAGAGGCCCCGCACATTCAAACTGTAACTTAAATTACAGAGATGCGTATTTCACTCCAATCGTTTTTCATAATTTATCCGGCTATGATGCACATTTCATAATTAAAGAAATCGCTACCGCGTTCGAGGGCACAGTTGATGTATTACCGATAACGAAGGAGACATACATTTCCTTTACAAAAAATGTAAAAAGTACCATAGAAAACTCAAAGCGGCAAAATTGCATAAAGCTGCGATTTATTGACTCATACAAATTTCTGAGTACCAGCCCTGATAGATTGGCATCGTTTCTCCATAGAGACAAATTAAAAATTGTACGATCTGAATTTTCAACATTATCCAGCGACGATTTCGATCTATTGACACGAAAAGGTATACATATTTTACTATGAATATGTGGATTGCGTAGACAAGTTGCAGGACCCGCGTCTACCTCCGCGCGAGTCATTTTTCAGTTCTTTGACCGGAGTCACCGTATCCGAGAGCGATTACGTGCGCGCCGAGAATGTCTGGCAGCGGTTCTCCATCCAAACCATAGGCGACAACAGCGATTTATATATGAAGATAGATGTCTTGTTATTGGCCGACATTTGTGAAAATTTTCGCGATAGTAGCATCAACAGTTATGGATTAGATCCCGCGTATTATTATACTTTGCCTGGTTTCACGTGGAACGCCATGCTGAAACACACGCGCGTAAATTTCGAGCTGCTCACAGACATCGACATGGTCATGTTTGTGGAACGCGGTATACGCGGTGGTTTGAGCCAGTGCTCGAACAAGTATGCTCGAGCCAATAACAAGTACATGCAGTCTTACGATCCATCGAAACCATCCTCGTACCTGATGTACTTTGATGTTAATAATTTGTATGGTTGGGCGATGTGTCAACCACTACCATATGCAAATTTTCGATGGGTCGAAGATATTACGAATTTCGACGCGAGCGCAATCGCTGCGGACTCATCGACAGGTTACATTCTCGAGGTCGATCTCGAGTATCCGCAGCATCTTCACGACGCGCACATTGACCTACCGTTCTGTCCAACGCGCGATAAACCACCAGGCAAGCGGCAGGATAAACTTCTCGCGACAGTGTATGATAAGAAGCGTTACGTCATACATTATCGCAACCTGCAACCTGCAACAGTGCACGCGTCATGGGCTTTGCGTGTCAAAGATACACCGTGTATTGGAGTTTTCGCAATCTCCATGGCTCCGCGATTACATCGAGCTTAATACTCAGTTTAGAACACGTGCGACAAACGATTTCGAAAAAAATTTATACAAATTAATGAACAACGCGGTATTTGGCAAAACAATGGAAAATGTACGGAATCATGTCGACGTTAAACTTCTAACAAAGTGGGATAGTCGTTACGGTGCGGAGGCAATGATTTCGAAACCAAATTTTCATAGTTGCAGCATCTTTTCAGAAAATTTAATCACCGTGGAATTGCGAAAACTCGAAGTGAAATTCAACAAGCCAATCTACGTGGGTATGTGCATCCTCGACATATCCAAGTCTGCTTGTATGAATTTCACCATGAATACATGCTGCCCCTGTACAGTGACAAGTGCAGAATTATGTATACTGATAGCGACAGTCTCATATACCACGTCAAGTGCGAGGATGTATATGAGACTGTGAAACGCGATATACACAGATTCGACACGAGCGATTATCCGGTTGACAACGCGTATGGCATACCGCTTATAAATAAGAAAGTGCCCGGTCTAATGAAGGACGAAAACAATGCCGCGATCACGATGGAATTCGTGGGACTCAGAGCGAAAATGTATGCGTTGCGAGTCGATGGTAAGAAGGATACGAAGAAGGCGAAAGGTGTCAAAAGTAATGTAGTAGCGCGAACAATACCTTTTGAGGATTAGACACATTGTCTGCGAGACGAGATCGAGATGACGCGTCAGCATTCGTGTATTCGATCTAAACTGCATCAAGTTTACACTATAGCCGAGACGAAAATCGCTCTGAGTCCATACGACGACAAACGATACGCCATGCCTGACTCGACCAACACGTTACCTTGGGGACATTACCAGATACCTCTATAATATATTCACAGTATTATTGTACATTATAGAATAGTAATTATTACAAGTATATGTTTATTCACATGTAAAATAAATGACACAACTATATATGTATATACGTTTATATGTATTTAATATATTCTTATACATGTTTAATAGAATAAATACATTCTTTAAAAATTAAAGCACATTGTTCTTGTCTACCCACGAGTTATGCGATCCAGCGAATCCCAACCATTTCACATAAACCTTGTCACCCTTCCTGTGCAGCACTTTTTCTACGAGATACACATCCGGATAAGTCGCGCGATGCAACTCGTACTCGTAGAATGCTCTAGCGACGGGTTCTCCGCGATAATCCTGGAGTAGATACGTTACGGGATTGGTGCGCTGTACTGTAACGATTTTAAACACCTCGGTGGTCCAATTTGGTGTATAACTCTTCTCAAACACCGTCTTGTATCTGCTAACGCGTACCGCATCACCCACTTTGAACTTTGCCGGACCAGCGATTTTTACGTGGCTGTACACTGTTTTCAGGAGTCTGTTAGCAACCGCAGGGGTAACGTCGACGGGTCGCATGCCGATGGTCCTGTGCTTGCATGCGTTGTACTCTGCAATGAGTCGCGGTAATAAATCTATCCACTTGTAACTTCCATTGAGTGTAAACATCTTCCACATGGTGTTCTTCAATGTGCGATTGAACCGCTCGATGACCGACGCTTTCAATACGGAATACGAGGAATAGAGATTGATGTTGCGTTTCTTCAAAAGTCGTTGCACGTCGCCGTTGTAAAATTCTTTTCCCATATCGGTTTGCAGGTTTTTCGGGCATCTTTCGCTCTTCCGAATTACCTCACTGATAGCATTAGCCGTCTCGCTTCCACCTTTAGTCTTAAGCGGCATAGCCCAAGCATGCTTGCTCAGCACATCGATGACTGTAAGCATGTAGTGGTAGCCTCCGTTGAAACGTGAGTATGCACGCATATCAACGAGGTCGGCTTGCCACAGATCATCGTATCCTCGAACTATGACGCGTCTTCGTGGAAAATTCCTTCTCGCCGGAGCATGCAGCTCCTCGACGAGCCGTCGCTTCTCGGAACAGTTACGTCCATCGGATTTTGATGGTCTCATGTTTCGACAGTGTGTAATCGTTGACGTAATGATATGCGCAAAGAGGGTACCATGCGATATATGTTTTCTAACAGCTCCGAATACAGAGCGGTTTCCGAAATACAGATCTGTTCACAGACCTGTTTCAGAAATACAGACCTGTGTCTCCTACCCGTTTCTTTCTGATTGCAGTCGTCATCCAATAGTCGTTCATATCCGTTTTTGTAGTTCATCATTATCCGATAGCCGCTCGTTAACCGCTTCTAATCTAGTGATATTTGCATGCCAGAGCTCGTTTACAGCGATCTGTAAAGCATGCAGGTTCTTCTCCAACGCAATCAGCTTCTCATCAGACTCTGTCCTCAACGTTACAACGCACTGTTCCACGTACAGTTTGTTTACAGCGTCGGTATCAGTCTCAGGTTGCGCTACACGACGAATCTTGCATGATATTGCATCGAAATCCGTAGCAGCGCGACAGAGAGCGTTATGATGCACGTAACTTCTCATCAATCCGCTCCAGCGATTGTATGAAATGTTATCGGTTGCATCTCTTCTCCCTTCGGATAGTCCAAATTTGTCGATAGGCATTTTATCAACGCGAGCGACACCAGTCGACTGATTCATTTCGATGATACGTGAGTTCATTTATAATAAAACCAGCTTCGCGAAGTTCCTCAATAATCGATAGCATCTCGTTGTCGTGAGCGTTTTGGCCGGCTCGGCGCGAAGCATCGAGCAATCATAGGCGATCCACAAGCTCATTGGGATCGTCCCAGTGCACGTAATCGATCGCATTGTCGTTTAGTGCCATAGAGTGAGGTAATCCTTTTCCAGATTTTGTCCTGGACTGAGTCTTCATTCCTCCGTCCAGCATTAACGGTGCGATTATGTGATCGTACTTGTGCCCTCTGGTACCAATTTTCTGACCTTGCGCGCTGTAATTGCGCCTGTGCGCATTCGACGCCAAAAGTATGCTCTTGTACTTGTTTAGATCATCCTTCGTGTACACTTCATCGTCGGGAAGTCTCTTGAAAATCAGCTCGTAAAGACCAGGCGTATCTTTGTATCGCACACCGTCGAGAATTATATTATCGTTGCTGTCTACATCGAACCGTTTACTGCCGAGCCTCATTCCATCCTTGTCGAGATGAACACCGTATACGAAATCTATGTTGCTCTTTACACCACTCTTTTTGGTAGGTGGTCCGCGTTGAACTGCCTCGATATATTTTTGGCTCAGCGGGCCCAGATGCATCTGCAACGCTGCTTGACCCTCTTCCGTTTGTATCTCGCGTTGAACAGCTGACGGGAGCGAATCCCCAGTGGTTTCGAAAACATCCTCAGACCCAAGAGTCACCTCCATTGGACGCATGGTCGTCGCACGTGGTGTAGAGGTTATCAACGGTGTAGAGGTTATCGGTGGTGCTTCCAACTCATACGATACATCCATCAATTTACAATGTTTCGATTTGGGGGACTCGATCAACGGGCGATTCGATGAGGTCCGTTTTTCCCCCCTCCTTATCTGTCGCCGTATAGCATCTTTCTCGCACTTGTAGTCGAATGCTGTATCAATCATCCCCATGTCATGGATCGGCTCGTCTTTTATCGCGCATACCCCGTTGGAGTTGTCAGCCATCTGTTGCAACGGCTCGATGATTGGTCTAAAGTGCGTCTTCACCGCGATATCATCATCGATCCTACCAATCTTCAAAGCGCGATGTTTCTTGCGAATTACTTCGCTCGTTTTTGCGATCTCTCTCGCAATCTTTTCACGCTTGCTAATATCATCGCTCCCAGCCATGCTGATCGCTCGCTTTTCACCCAAC